GGGAAAAAATTGCAAAAAGACATTTCCCCCCCCCCCAAAAAAAAGCGCACTGGAAAGTGTCACAAACGCACCGCGTTTGCAGATACGCGTGCAGATCTGGTCCGGACATGGTGTGGCAGGGCCCGCACTCATGGAGGGGACAGTACTTTGAGCTGGAGACAAGACCTCACTATATGGAAGGGCATGTGAGAGGGTGACAAAACATGTGAATAATTGAGAGAGAGGGATACAGCACTGTCACCCTATAAATTTAAGTATCTGAAAAAAAGACCTTCATGGCAGGATCACAAAGTAATATTTTAATCCTGTGGATTAAAAAAAAAAATTGCTTTCAAAATCAATTTAACGTGTTAAAGCATATTAAAATAATTTTGTGACTGGGTTTCCTTATACCTAACACTTTAGGTATTAGACAACACATTAGAGAACTAAACAGCTAGGTCATTAAAAACTATAGAAAATCACTTAAATATTTATGCTATAATAAATGCTAAGTTATTCTGTGAGTTTTGTTTAGGATGCAAAACTGATGCTGAATGAACATGAAAGGTGTTGAAAAGAAACTGTTTTATCCATCTTACACACCTACAATAACTATGCAGATCAGGAGCCCTCACTTAACTGCATTGCTTGATGCAATGCTTCTTCTGGGTCAGATTCAAGAAGCATAGAAGCCAGTGACAGCCATGTACAGCAAACTCCCCATTATCTGGCATCCACGGGGATTGGTAGATTTCAGATAAATGTAGTTTCTGGTTGCTTGAGTTACTATTAAAAATAGGTTTAACTGATGCTATACCCAATACTATACCATACTATAACAAACTCTGTATTGACTTCATATTAATATTGAAATAAAGTAATCAAAAGCACATTAAGACAAACAGACACATTTAGTATTAGTGCTGTAATACAGGTGTTGTAATACAAGTGCTGTAATGCTGTGTGCACTGTGGCTGCCTGACAGTGGGACTGGAGATCTACAGTATACTGTAATCCATGAGCAATACAGTACTGGAAGTGATCACTAGGGGGCACTTGTTCACAGACACTTGTTCCCAAGATAATACAGTGGCAATCACACTCTTCGGCCCCGATCCTCTACCCTCCCGTGATTTTTATTTAGCCCAGTTAAATTAGATTTTCAGTTAGTTGAACACCAGTTAACAGGGCGTTTACTATAATAAGCATTTTTAGAAGTCAGAAACTGTAGCCTACATATTTCTGCACAGGTTTCCTTTTTAATAACTTATCTTAATTACAGGTTTGCTTTAAATGAATGAGTGTTTATCCAATTGTCCAGTCTAGGTAATCAGTTAAGGAGGGTTGCATTTTTATTTGGATGAAACCAAGTTATTCAGTCTTATTATTTCAGTCAGAGCTTGAGCCTCATCCATTAAAGATGGAGCTATAGATTACTATCTAGTAGAACACTGACAGTAGTTAAATCATATACCAGGCACCATCTAACTTAAAGCAACTCTTTGCTTTGCCAAAATGTAGAAGACCTATGTAGAAGTGTAATGAAGATGTCCATACATGTATACATTGGTGTATAAAAAGAGAACAAATACTCTGCCCCAGTCTGTCCTTAGAGACCCAGTTATTCCCTGTTCTCGCACAGCATAAGCAGGTTAAACCAGGCTGTCAATCAATCACAGCCCATATGTCAAAGACGCCTCTGCCCTTCCTGTGATTGCCAAGTGTCACTGTTCTTTACATGTCAGAAGCCTGGGAGAATGACTAAAGATGAAGATGAGGCCATTGCTGCTGACTTGACAAAAAGTTGAAAATTGCATATTAGTAGAATCCCTGTTTAGTCTGCTTAGCCTAAACAGATTATGAATGTGCCACAAAGTTTGCACACTTGGGGGATGCAAACATTTACTTTAAGGCCAAACCTGGCAACAGAGTTTTCTTCAAATATTTTCATTAAAAAAAATCAAATATGACATTATAAAGCAATATTATCTGCATTGACACCACACGTACTTGAAGATCCTTCACATTAGGAAAAGGAATTCCTACAGTTACAACTGCCCGGGCATTGTCGTCTGAGAAGTCCAGTCCTTCGCTCACTTTACCTCTGCAAACTGCAATCAGGAGGGCACCATCTGAAACCACATACACATTTTTGCAGTTATTTAAAATACATTTCAACGTGTGTGTTTAAGCTGAAGAAGTTGTGATAGTAAAATAAAGTGATACTGGGTCACCATCTGACTGCAACAGAGAGATTCCAAAGCCGAACATCCTAGGATATAGTGCATTATGAACAATATAGCACAACACTATGATACGTAGAACATATGGTGTGCCAGGGAGATCAATTTCCAAATCTTGGGTAAAATATATGTTTGAACAGAGAACAGCACCAGTTTTTCTCACTCTAAACTCTGCATCATTGTTTTCTGCAATTTTCAAATCTATTCTGTTTTTATTTTAGGTCCAAACAGAAAGAGATTATATGGCAAATGAAATATACATTTTACATAAATATTGGAAAACTGTTAAAATTATTTTATCTACTACACTAATTTCTACAATTGCACCTATATAGATGAATTATAATCTATTATCATGTGCACTTACTGCACGCAGCTTTATAAACACTTACCTTTTTCACCTCTAAAACGTATAGCGTCATAATAGAGCTGCAGCAATTTATCAAAGTCCGTCTTATCTCCTCCTTGTGGTTCTTTAATGACTGTCTTGATTCCTTCCAAGTTCTCCCATAAGCCTGTATGCATCCATCTGTCTTTCAATTTCTCCAGCATCTGAAAAGATTCAGTTTAAGAAATAGTCAGTGGTGTTTATAAAAGTATACTAGTCCACTGAGAATTCTCATTATCAGTGAAGCTTGCTTTACTGTGTTTAACATGAAGGTATAGTACCCTAACCTATAAAGGCAGCTTGCATGGAGAAGTTGTCCTCTTCATGCTTAAAGATATTGCGGGACAAACAAAAGAAAAACAAGTGTCCACAGCCAAAATGATCTACTTGCACTGGTGTTGATTAGAGATTTGGAACTCAGGAAATCCAATCATGTTATCATTTACAAAATAACCTATTGTAATGGCTGTAAATATCACTTTTTACAATTTCAGTTTTTAAACATATTTGCCAAGTTCGTACATAGAAGGAAAGGTGCTTATGTGCTGCTGGGGACAGGGGTAAACCTGTTGCTATGCCCGGCATGAGAAAAGCACAAGTCTGCTGAAGTTCACCTTAAAGTGTTTTAATGAAAAAGTGCTGACAGGCAGGCTTTTTATAACAGAAGAGACTGTGCAAGTCTCTTCTATCATATATCCTTCTTCCTTCCTACACAGCGTATACAGTCTCGGCACAACTTATTGACAAAGCAATTCCCATGCACATGCGTGAGGGGTTACAGTATGTCATTTAGGCCTGGTCAATCAAGTGGCCAAAGACTCCGAAACCAGAAGAAAACAGGGGAACACTGGAAAGAGAAGCGAGCACAGGCATTCATAAAAACTGGCATAATGTACTCATTTTCTATGCATAGAAGTACATCATGGCTAAAAGCTCTTGGGGTGGGGGGGCATTTATTTTGTAGCTACATTATCCTCTGCTGTAAATCCAGTCTTGCTTGGAGAATTACAATTTACATATCAATATTCCTTGGTGTGGAAACTTTCAAGTTTCCTCAAAAAGAGTAAATCATCATAAAGCATTTATAAAGTATGCTTCCTTTAAAAACTGGCTTTAGAGGGGAACATTTTAAAAAGGACAACTGGGCTTATTTGCTACAATTGTTTTAGTTTTTAATTTACCAATACCAGGTAAATAAATCGTACATTTAGATTGCCTACTATAGGTTGTTGCACTTTGATTTACTAAATTAGCTAGATAGCTTAGAAAAATAAATCTTCATAGTAGCAGCCTAACTTATTATCCAAAACACCCAAACTCTCTGTTTAGTGAAAAAAAAAAGTCTGCAATTCAGTCTTCACAGTAAGGTTTAATGGGTACGTTTTACAATGCAGAGTCATGAAAGTTATCTGGAAATGACATTTACTACATGCTCTCTTAGCTGCCAGTGAAGCTGTTACAACCATAATCATTTCAGAACTGTTATGCTTGCAAAGAGACTAAAAAATTAGCACTCCAATTGGGCGGTAAACATATTGATATGTAATATCACAATGTAAGTGAGCTGTGAAACAAATGAACCATTCATCTTAGTAACGAAAGGATGGCTAAATGATTTACAGATAAAAATGATTTAACCAGAACCTTCTATTTAACTTTTTGTTTTTTTTACCATGGAAAATCTAACAGGTATTTCGCCAAACTGAAACACTAAATAATATTATAACCTGCCTCGGTAAATACTTGGGGAGAATAAAAACAAAAAAATCCATTACATTCCTAATACAATCACAGTATCAACGCTCCTGTTAGTGCAAAAAGTCAGGGAGTCTCAGAGGAAATGCATTGATCTAAAAGCCTTTTGCCATGCACGTTTCCTCATGTGTTTGGTGCTTACATTTTCTTCTTGGTTAAGCACTGCTTTAAAATCTGAGTGCTCCAGTGTTGCTAAGAAAGAGGGTTGAAAGGTCACGAAGAAGTTTCTATCTTTGATGCAAACACACAGATATGGGTAAAAATCTATATTTAGTTGTAAATACAATAACACTGTTATAGCAAAGTCTGATCTGTCATGATGATCAGTCAACCAATTTTGTTTTTAACATTCTCAATTACAACCTTTTGTATGTGTATTTTTTAATAGCGTTACAACTAATATACAGTCTATACTTACTGTGTGTGTATGTGTGTATATATATATATAATATATAATTATAGTTAGGTAAATATGACTGAAAATGTATATTTTGTATTTTTATGACCAGCCTGCAGGTGGAGCTCCTGCCTTTTTTCACATAATTTCACTCATCTTGTTATTCGCCCACCCTTCATACAGAGCTGTACGATGTCTCGGTTAGAGTTTCAAAAAGTAAACAACTTCTGCTGTGCTTACTCTTTCAAGAAGGAATAAACTGTTAGGAATATGTAAATAATATAATGTCCATAGACTGGGCACAGGTGCACTTTCATCAGAGTCACATATGAGCCATTTCGATTTGGTAATGACTAATTTAACATTGCTCCAAAAAACTAAGCTCTGGATACTTTTTCTTTTTAACTCAAAACTGATTGGTATATAAATATATTCCCAACATGCTTTAAAAGCAACTTTGGTATTCATGATGCTATTTATTTAACAAACTATAGCGCCTTTCAGAAACTGGTGTATTTATTTTGAGATCATGTAACACATTAATTGCACACTGGTGTACTCTGTTTAATTTCTTTAAAGTGATTTTTGAAGGCATTTGGTTGTACCCTTATTTAAGACCTTTATTTAGGGGGTCTTACAGCAAAATAGGTACATAGTTATGCAAACTTTTCATTTTTTTAAAATGTATTAATAAATTTGAAAATTGTGTAGATAAGTACCATAAAATCACAATTGTTTTTCATTTTAGTTTGTATAACTACAAAATGTGGGACAGTCTAAGGAGGCGCAATGCTTAAATCTGAACTCCAGGCAAACAGGTACCTATACAGATAGATAATCATACAGACCTGCTTTACCTGCCAAAAATGTTTGTATTTCTGTCCATTTAGTCCTCAGATTTAAACAGGCTTGCCAGGCAGCACATCCAGCCTAGGAATATGACTTTTTTTCAACTATAGTTTAATTAAACAACTGATTACTAGGTCTTGTCCCTGCTCCTAGCCGGAGATTAGATGGTGAAGGAGAAGCAGCAGACTGATGAACTCAACTCTAGGTCATTGTTTTTTGCTTTTTCCTTTCTATCATAATGTTTTTGTTAGCACATACAGCACCATTGCTTGATGCTTCTCCCTCTTCTAGTCTGGTGTATAGGAATTGCAAGAGGCTTATATTAAGTCCAATTCAGGAACTTCACTATTTGTTTTTAAAGGCACATAAAGTAAATGTAAACCCCCAACTAAATGACATTTCATTGGCTAAAGCACTCTGCACCATAAACAGCTATTGAAGAAAAAAAGTTTCACTTTTTTTAAACCTGTGTTGCATCCCAGTGCCACAGAATTCCTGCGGCCACTGCCTGACTACATTCACTAGCTCCATCTATGGCTGCATGGTATTTCTCTAGAGAGGTTTTTCCTGATGGTGACAACAGCAGACCATGCCTGTATGCGTGTTGAAAAAGTCACGTATAGTCTCCATTAAAAGCCTGTGTAATAGGGTGACAAAGCAGGAAGACAGAGACAGAGCGTCCCCACTCACCTGAACAATGTCCTTAATGGCAAGGTCACCAGGTATTATGTTAATGAAATCTGCAGACTGAAAAATGCCTTGAAATGCCATTAACATGTTACAGCGTATATGAGCGTGTATTGTTTGGGTTCACATATACCTTAATGGATTTAATGAACATGGGGGTTTTTTTTAGCTACAAATGGCTTGCATATTAGATAAGAGGGCGGGATGAAAGGACAAAGGAAGAAAGGAAGGAAGATGAGAAAGGAGGAGAGGGGGGAAAGCAACGTTCTCAATTCCGACAAATACCTGCTATTTAACAATGCTTAATATATTGACCTAATGCAGTGAAATCTATTTTTATAATACAACACCTATACTTATTGTGCTTACAACATTGACGACTCATTCTGAAATCGATTACAATTAAAATGGTACTGTTGTCATGACCCAACTTGTTGTTTGGTAGCTTTACTCTGCATATTTAAATATAAGGGGGAAAAAGGCATTAAAGGCAAACCCCAAGTGTTGAAAAAAGCAAAGTATTATGATCAGCATTAAGCTTGCTGTATGCACACAAAAACACAGTAAGAAGTAAATAATTTATTGTCATATTTTGAAGACAGAGTTTGCATCATTCAGCTCACAGACCAGAGTACTTCACTGCTATGATTTCTCTACTGGGACAGTGACAACAGGCCTCCTACCAGAGAAGAAAGCAGCACTGAACTGTCTTCCCGGTGCCATAAATCAACACTGTAGTCTACAGGATGTCTCCCTGGTACAAACATACCATCAATTTTTCAATAACCATGTTAAATAATGGAACATTTGACTGAGAAAAGTAATGAAAAATGAAATATTTTGCACACCAAAGGCTGCTGGAAAAGGGAAACAGTTAATATATTTCTTCAAGTATAAAAAAATGAATAAATCTCTTACAATTCTTAAAATAAAGCACATAGCTTACTAAAGAACTGAAAAAGAAATGAATCCCACTGTTTACTAAAAAATTATACTAAATGTATTTTACCGACCTAAGCTTCATTATGGCCAGTCACTGAAAGAGTATGTCAAGAAAGGGCTATAATTTAATTACAAAGAAATGAACGGTGTAGCTGGAGGATGGTATGGTGAATGAGGATTCCTGAGCCTAGCCCAAGGGCTCATTTACACGGGTGGTGGAGTTCTACCGCCCCCTGAAAAAGTGATCTGAGGTGGCTTGCTTTTCAGATTGCGGTTGAGGTGGTTTGCAGGCATTCAGAAGGTAATACTGTTGCCTTTTGAATGTCATTCTGTGGGGATCCCAAGGGGGATTTTGCTTTGCAACACCAGGCCAATTTTTGTAGCGCGGTCCCACTGACTGTATTGGTAACGTCTGGGAAGTAGCATCACCTGTCAAATGCAACATGCTGCATAAAATTTGCTGTGGCATGCATACAAACCTGAGCATCTGCTATGTTAGGTTTAGGTAGGTGGTCAAGTAAATGAGGCCTTAGG